AATGTGCCTGAGATGGCATACTTTTTTTTAAGCCCTTATATTTTTTCTACAAATAATCTTTAATGCCGAAGTTTTAAACATTTGGACACTAGTAGTTGACTACTACAATAAGTAGTTCCTGAAATTTTATTTTATTTAATAAAAAGCAAGTTTTTTTTATAATAAAAAAATGGTTAGTATGTCATCTCACCCGGACTATCACGGGTGAGATGGCATACAATGGCTTTGAGTGTTTAATAGTTTAGGTAGGTACTCCTAATTTACTGTATTAACGCACAGTTCACAAATAAAAGTTTTAGAATTTGTTGCAAGTCCGGCACATTCACAGTGAGCCCATTTTGCACAAGATTGGAATTTCAACCACCATTCGTTACGCCTTGACTGCGAATAAAGCTCGTTGCAATAAATACAGACGGCGTCGTCTTCATCATCAGTATCTTCAACTGGAAACTCCTCCTCCTCCTGCGCGTCTTTTTGAATTTCTTTATACTCATGTAGATTTAAAACTCTCTTTGTCTTGCGAGCAGACTTTCTTCGTTTTGCCTCTTCTTTCTGTGCCACTATTTCTTTTAAAGCTGCTATTTCTGGAGTACTGTTAAGTACCCCACTTTTTCCTGTCTTTCCAGAACGCTTTTTACGGTGTAAAGAGGTGGCTTTTGGAAGTGGAGATATATCTGTTATGGCAACAGAACAGCAAGAAGATAAAGGCTTTTGAATAGATGTGGAGGGCCCTGTATTTTCAAATGAGATATCTTTTTGTGTAGCATCAGCCAGTAAAGCTTCGGGTTCCTTGTTAGCAAAATTACTTTCAGGAAGTCCTACATTTTCTTGTTCTACATCTGTGGCTTCCGCTGGCGCAAACATCCAGTCTGGGAAAATGTCTGGTTGGAATGGATATATTCCTGTGGTGGAAAAACCATTTTCAGCATTAGAGAGTGTCGCTGCCTTCTGGTAAGCATTTTTGAAAAGTTCAGCCACCTGGTAGTGCGTGACTGTTCTTCCTGGATGGGTTTTTAGCCATAAATTTAATTCTTGATTATAGTAAGTGGAGAGAGGTCCAAAAAAAACCACATACAGAGGCTGTACCCGATGGGTACAGTGGGGGGGAAAGCAAAAAAGAATAATTCCATTGGCTTTGGCATACTCTTGAGCCTCCAGGCTTTTATGGCTTATGTGACCATCCAACATTAACAGGACCTTATCTTCTTTTGTGGGTTTAACGTGCTTAACAAAGTGGTTTAACCATTTGACAAATATATTCTTGTCCATCCAGCCATGTTCTTGAGTAAATGCTACCGCACCAGCGGGAGCGTTGTCCATTAATTCCTTCTTCATATTTTTTCGAGGGAAAATGAATGCTGGTGGGACATAGACTCCTGCAGCACTGAAACTGCAAACTACTGTAAGGTGCTGACCACGTTCGGCGCTGGTTAGAACACCAACTTGTTTTTTACCTTTACAGGCGATAATCTTCGAATTCTTTGAAGGTACAGTAGAGAGACCACTTTCATCCATATTGAATATTTTTGTGCAGTCAAACTTTATGTCTTCCATAGATTGGGCTAGCAAATCGAAGTATTTTAGTAGTATAGTAAGGCCGATCCTGGCTCACTTTACATTGAAAAGTGCCATATGATTGAAGTGTTAGCGTTTCAAGGTCAAAGTGGTGTTGAAGGTCAAAGTGGTATTGCGTAAGTGGGTGGGTGGGTTTCAAGGTCGAGTGTTGAGAAGAAATGGGGTGTATTGTTTGTGTTTTTCGGAGGGGGGGTGATGGGTGAAGGCCATTGGATTTCAAGGTCGAGTGTTGAGAAGAAATGGGGTGTATTGTTTGTGTTTTTCGGAGGGGGGTTGATGGGTGAAGGCCATTGGATTTCAAGGTCGAGTTGTGAGAACAAAGGGGTGTATTGTTTGTGTGGAGGGGGGGTCGATCGCTGAGAACAAAGGGAGGTTGTGTATGTTGTTTGTGTGTAATCAAATTGTTTGTGTTTTTCTGGGGTGCCGCCTCAAGGTCAAACGTGTTGCAATTTAAATATAGATATTAGAAGATGTTAGCTTGAAATGTGGTTAGTGTTAAGGGGGAATATGCGGCGAACGGCTGTTGAATGCCTTCATCAAGCCTTATTGGTATTGCTATCTGATGCTGAGCATGAGGCGGTCTATGGACCTGAGACTTTTAGGGAACAGTGTCAAAACATTGTCCAAACGTATGAGTTGGGGATTGAACTATGTAGACTCTTTTTAAATTACAAAATATGCGTTGATTGCCTTATAAACGGACTGAACGAGACTCAGTTGGGTGAATACATAATATGGTGATGAAGAAAGTTACATTTGACGATAGTAACAATCGCGTGTATGTACTGATCGCGTGGTCCTTTGCATATAGTGCGGCACGAAAAGGGCCTTGGGAAACTATGGCCTTGGATAGATTTCGCTTTAGTACAAAAATAGAGCAATTTTGTAAGATATTGTCTCCCGTCTTAGCAGAAAATCATCGTTTATCAGTTTATCTGACTAGATTTCAAGGTCACCAGAACTCAATGTAATGGTATATCGCACTAGATTTCAAGGTCACCAGACAGTAATGTTTATCGCATTAAATTTCAAGGTCAACAGACAGCAATATAATGGTGGTAGAAACGGTGAATGGAATCAGTCGAATAGTGTTCGCTAATCAGTTAAAATGGATCTTAATCAACTCAACAGTAGCACCTACTGCAAACCTTTCAAGAACGTCAAGGATATGAAGGTCGGTGAAAAGTATAAAGTGATTGGTATCGACCTAATCAATACCAAATATGGCGACCGAATACTGATCGATACTGAGAACTTTAAGTGCATCCTTCCTTTGCGCTTTTATGACTACTTCAAGAGCGACAACCGTCTGCAGATCTTCAAGGACACCTTGTCCAGGGAAAAAGTGTTTATAACAAGCGCCGGAACGGCGGGGAAGACTACTAATTTAACATTTATGTAAAAAAGTTGTAAATGAGATAGAGAGAAATAATAAAATGTTGTTGATGAGAGAGAGAAATTGTGTCTCTTATTTAAATGCATATCCACCCTTAGAAACACTTTAGTTGTTCTGTGATCGTGGGGTCGAGATCATCTCAACGAAAAAAAGCTCCAAAATGGATACAATCAGTTGTACTAATAATTATTTCTCGTGCTCGTGCTGGTGCTGTAATAACAACAAAGACACTAGTGATGATTCTATCACCCAGTTTGCCGAAAATGTGCATAGTAAAGCTGCCGACGAACGTTTAATCGATTGCTCATCATATGACCTCTACGATGGTGAAAGCAATTCGAAGAAATATATTGAAATTGGCTACAGTACGCATCTTAATTTGGCCCCAGTTTTACGAATTGTGCACTCTCCATTAAATGCGATAGTGATGGTGAAAGAAGATTGGGAAATGCTTCTAAAGCACCAAACATATCTCGAGATGAAGTTCTTTAGATCTCAAGAGCTCGAAAATTGGATCGACTGGTCCAATGTTAAGGAAGAAGATATTGAGCACGACAAAAGTTCTGAATCGCTTAACGCAAATTTTACTATTCATTATAACAGGAAATTTGTGCGGGATCCCACGACGACTGAGAAAATATTAGAGAGCGTAACAATACAACGTGATAAGCTGCATTATTGCACGATGAGTAAGTACGTCGTTGAAGAATTGTTTAATCTAAAAGATATAATCAACTATCGTTTGGATTTACTGGAATCGTACGCTCTGTCCTGTTTCTATCAGGATGTTATCGAACAGGTGATTAACTACCGTCATTTTCGTAAAATGGAGTTTGGTAACGAGGACGAGGGCGACGATGACAACATCTATCGCGATATTGAAGACGTATTAAACTATAAGTTTAACGTCAATTCTCATAATACAGTTTGCATGATGGAATTATTATACTATCGACCTACTTATTTTATGTATCACATATGTCAATAAACGTACTTTATTTGAGCATTTTTGTTTTATTTGATGAATGGATTTCCTATAAATATGGCAACTTATTGCCGCAATTCAACAATGTTGAATCGGAAGCGGAAGTGTACGGATGGGAGTGGCTTGGTTAATAATCTCATAAACAAACTTCCAGTGGAACTACATATTCCTGGCTATCAGTATTGCGGACCTGGATGCGATGACGGGTGCTCACAGAAATGCCTAACGAACTAGATAAATGCATTCATGATTCAGGTAAAAGAAGAGTATACGGATTCAAGAACGAATAATCGTGCACCTAAAAATAACTTTACTTAATGTGTACCTAAAGAAAATTTTAATAATTTGGTTTCATTTTGTATAAAAAATTATGTCTTAATTAAACACATCTAATTAATTATAACATCGCCTATCGCTTGAAGGTATTAATCCCATTCAGAGGTACCTAATACCATTGAGTAATAAATAAATTCTTTACTCAATGCTAATACGTTATTAGCTTATAGTTACGATTCGAGGTAAAAAAATGCACCTATTTATCACACTGAGGACATGTTTAGCTACAAGCATTTTACGTGAACAGTGTGGATAACAATTTGCGCGATTAAAAATGACATTCCTCCTTCAGTCATATCCAATAGTTTTCTCGTTGTTACAGTTTAGTAAACTTATTGGGAACGCAAAAGACATTGTGTTCGTCAAGAACGTACCTACTCCTAAAAATAACTAATGGAAATGAGAGAATTGCGATAACGTTAATCGCATTCATAATCTCACTAATGAAACATTTCCAAAGCATTGGATCTATTTTCAATTATAATACAGGCATTTATGGGGATTTTTAGCGAAAAATTACTAGGTACGATTTTAATTACAAGGCTAAGAAGACTCAAATTTTTTCCTGGAACGGCGTTTCAAGTCCAACAATTTTTAACCGCAACCAGATTGCATCAAGGACATTTTTGTAGGAAATACTGCCTTCTTTAGCATGATTTAAAAATGATATAAGCAAAGCTTCTCTCGTTTCTTCGAAATTGACTTTCATATCTGCCCAACATTTTACATACGTTTACGTAGCATGTTTTATTTCTGTAAGTTAGTTCGATGCTTTAATGCAATTTCAAATGGTGTTCTTAGAAAAAATTGCGTTTGAGGAAAATCGGGCGATGACGTGAAGATACGAACTGCTCCTGCAATTTCCTGCGAACAACGGTCAAAACAAAAGACACTTTGTACATTGTACTATTTTAGTTCTTGGAAGGCGATGTGCAACACAAAAGTGCTGATCAAAATAGCCCTTTGCACTGTTCGGGATTTAAGAGGCGTTTTGCATACATGTGAAAAATGTCTAGCATAAAAAATTGTCACATGCAAATGCCAACTATAAAGTTTCATGACTTTCATTGATACATCAGAGTCTTATAATTACAAGGCGTTCAAGAATGAATAATTGCAGGCGCCCCTTCTAAAGTTACAGGGGAGGCGCGTGCAGCAGCTCACAGAAATATGCAATTTTTAGTTATTGTATAAAAATATTTATTGAAAAAATGACCGTATGCATTTTTGAATAAAATTCTTTCTCAGTTAGACCTCTATTTGCATCGCTAAACAAAGATTTAGAAACATATTTATATACACCATTTCATGCGGGAGTTTCACATGTGCAATTAATAGACGCAAATCTATACCTTCCCCGTTTAACGTCCCCAAAAACCAACCAAAAATTACAATAAATGAAAATGCCGCATAGAGTGTCTCCGGAGGGCATAAGCATGATTAAAAATTAATTTCTCCATGTCTCTCTCATCGAAACTTTATACTGTTTAATAATTACACAATTACTATTCTGCAACCGGGTGGTTGTTGTCGAAACTAAGGAGCTTACCTGAACTAAATGAAGGTTAAAGGCGATGACTCATAGAAAATTCTGAGAAGTGAGAACAAAGGAGGCAGTCTTCTTGGAAAAAGCCATGACTCATAGGATGGTAATATAAAGACACCCGTGAACCCTCAGTTCAAACAGATAAACGTGTGCAAGTCGCACATCTGTGCAGTGACATTGCAACGTAACAGGCGTGTGCAAATATGGTATCATCATCGGTAGGATTAATGAGCACTCGGATCGTAAATCTGACACGGGAGTGTATTTCATTATTAAAACATAGGGATGAGATTGTTCGTCATTTATCAGTTTTACGTGATAATGTTTCCATAGTAGAATGACCCCAACACCGAGGACAGTAACCCATGGGGTGACTAACCTAATGGCCTTCTACTTAGCACACGCGCAATAGTTCAAATGACCTGTGGTTCATTACCTACGCCGGAAGGCTTTGGGTAATTATTTTGAGGAATATATGAGGTACCCCGTGACAGCCAACAATGGCATGTCTGCCTGTTAGTCAATGAATTATTTTTACATTACAGCCAATCATCGCAGTCAACCGCTTTCAAGGTTACGAGTTGGAAATATAAGCTATGGCGAGCAGTACAGTAGTGCTAGTCCAGTAGTACGTAGGTCTCGAAACAGTTTGGTGAATCAGTAGCAGAAAATGGTTATTGCTATTGACGTTCAAGGATTTAAAACATCCCCAACGACATTTACGCCAAAGGAGTTGGCGGTATTTAATGGGCACCAAGTTGCACATATTGTGTTCAAACCTCCATTTTCATTTAGCAGTTTAGATGTGAACTACCAGAGACAAGCTATCTGGCTGATGCACAACCACCATTGTATTAAATGGGAAGAAGGACATACACCGCCCCACTTATTTCCGATTATACTTCGCCGGCTAGTATCACCAATGGAGGCTATATATGTGAAGGGAAAGGAGAAGGCAGAATTTATACGAAAAACCTTATCGCAGGATGTCGTCGAGATCAACGAGGAACCTGCATTACCTAAATTGGAAGCCAGCTGTTTATATCATTCCTATCCAAAATGTCATTGTGCATTGGCAAACGTGTATTACATACATAACAACTATACAATGTCGTAATTGTTTAGTAAATAAAGCGATAAAAGTGTAACATTTCTTCTTTCTCTTAATGCCCTATAAATAAGGATGCGGATGTGCAAACGGTCGTTTCAGGAAAGGTTTCGATCACTATATAAAACCTACCGTGAAAAGGTGTTTATTTTTCAGTTGGAAAATACTGCTATCAAGTATATCTACAGCTTTCAAAATAAACAGCTTCTGATATAAACAGGTAAGCAGATAAACAAATAAACAGGTAAACAGATAAACAGGTAAACATATAAACAGGTAAACAGATAAACAGATAAACAGGTAAACAGACAAACAGGTAAACAGATAAACATGTAAACAGATAAACAGGTAAACAGATAAACAGGTAAACAGATAAACACTTTCTTGCCTACATTCACCATGGATAAATTCGGACGTTCTCATACGCATGCTCAATTTGGAAAACTGTTAAAGACAATTTTCCATTACCGACGATACGATAAATGTAGAAAATAAGAGACTAAGTTATGTTGTCTACCCTATTGAACGTCACGATGCCCTAACGTTGCAACACTACCTATCAACAAGACTAAATCTCAACGGAAACCGGTTAATGAACCTCGCCGATCCAGTAGACGACCGCGATGCCATAAATAAAGGGTACCTCACACAATACATGCAGATTGCGAAAGCGCCCGTAGACAGTCTTCGCAATTACGTAGCGGTACTAGAGGAAGAGTTGAAAGCGGTCAAAGAAACTTTACATAAACTAATAGAGGATGCAGCAGGTGGTGAACGAGTTACACAAAGCGGCGCGCAAAAACTTCCCTCGTAGACGCACCATCATTAAAGGCTTCGATGATCTTTGGCAAGCAGATCTAGCCGAATTTATACCTTACGCAAAAGAGAATAAAGGCTATAAATACATATTAGTAGTTATCGATTGTTTTTCAAAATATCTATGGACGCGAGGGTTGAAGACTAAAACGGGTGAGGAGGTGACAAAAGCCGTACAGGCTATTTTCAAATCTACGAGACGCAGACCGAAAAATCTACAGACCGATGCAGGGAAGGAATTCTATAACAAATCATTCGCCAAATTAATGATGCAAGAACGCATTAATCACTATTCCACGTACAGTACGAAAAAGGCCGCACTGGCCGAGAGGGTTATAAGAAGTATAAAAAACCCCTTGTACCGGCAGTTTAGTTTACGCGGAAAATATGTATGGATAGATGCAATCGAATCGATCACGAGCGAGTACAATAATCGTAAACATCGAACAACGGGGATGAAACCGATCGAAGTGAAGGCCGATACAAAGCTGGACGCCTACAACCACATCAAGCTCTTCAACAATAAGAAATGCCGTTTTAATGTCGGCGATGTAGTTCGAATTAGCAAATTTAAATCCATATTTGCGAAGGGCTACACCCCCAATTGGTCCAGTGAGCTGTTCAAAATTATAAAAGTACAAATAACAAATCCGGTCACGTATTTGTTGGAAGACATGAAGGCTAAACCGATTTTAGGTGGATTTTACGAACATGAGTTGCAGAAGGCCAAGTATTCGGACGTATATTTGGTTGAAAAAGTCCTGCGTCGCAAGAAAGACAAAGTGTACGTGAAATGGTTGGGTCTGGACGAGAAATCGTGGATTGATAAAAATAATGTTGTTCTATAAGGTTATGATGTGTCGATTTGAATAAATAAATAACTAAAAACTTAAATATTTACTTTTTATTATTGTAATTCACCATACAACATATTTCCTAGTGTCTCTTTTTCTCATTATCGTTAAAAGTAATTCTCGAGTCTTTTTATAATCGAGCAATTGAGTAGAGGGCCATATTGCGGAGTCTGGTCCGCAGGTCCAACCGAGAAGTGCATCAGGATTCTCTTCGCCTTTACGGATATTTTCCAATATCCATGTGTATATCTCGCGATGACGATTGTCCTCGTGCGTATTAAATCTACACTCTATTCCCTTTTCTACGCATACTTTAATAAATAATGTTAGGGCATTAACATTGGCATATTCTGCAGATTTACAAATACTTTCATTTATTACATATGAAATATCCTTATACACACCTGCAGAAGACTTGAGTAAATTAATTACATATTGTTTGATATGAAACGGTAAACTATCAATATTACTACCACTACTACAATCACTAACATTACAGGATATTGATTTTACTAACCTATCCAGTTCAATTTTTCTCTCTATCAGTAATCTAATATTAGTTTCACATACATTTCTAGAGCAAGCACACCAACCGAAACATTCATCGGGGAGGATAATGAGGTTTTGTAACACCTCATTAATGAATGTAGTGGATGAGTTTCTCAATAGAGCTTGTTTTAAAAATTGTTTATAAATGGGAATAGAAGCTTTGTATAGCTCCTCCTCCAATTGTATTTTCAAATTTTCGCTATCCATTATCCGTATTGTTGTTGTTGTTGTTATTGTTGAGGGGTTTTCTAAAATACAAAAGGTGTGGTTAAAAGACGCGAAGGTTGTGGAATATCGACATCATCGTCGTAGTAGTCGTTAGTATGGTTGTATTAGGTAGGATTACTAAAATTACAATATCCCCAAGGCCGTGTATCGATACGATTAGCGCATATGACGCGTTTGTCATCGTGAGGACTTAATACGACCTTATTTTGTTTCAATGTGTATACGGCATGCTTCTTCGATCGTATTAGATTCTGCTCCTTTTTTATAGTTACAATATTAAACAAGGACCTTTTATAATCATCGATCGTAACGTCCCTCATACTAGATGATGTGGATCCTTTCGATTTCTTTATCAATTTTCCATCGACCTCATATGAATACATCTTTGCACGCAACCCTACAAATTCGGTCATTATACGACCATGATTTTCATCCTTCATTAACCCCGGAATTTTTTTATTTACCAAAGGAATTCCAAACTCGTTTTCGGGATCATAATCTGATGTATCAAATCTATGAATATCTTCCTTTATAATTTCATATATGTTGGGAACGTTAAAAGCGTATATTAAACTATCGGTATCGGTGTACAACAGCTTTGCGGACGATTTTTGAAACTTTTTCAAAACGTAGTTATAATGAAAGTCGTAAAGAAACGTTTTTGAAATGTCTAAAACTGCAAATCCTGCGTATATAGGTTTATTGAAAAAGACTTCTAATCTATTCATTTCTATGATCACCATGTCCTTATCGAATATCGTACAACTATGGAAGTTTGGTTTGGATATATATGCCCTAGCGCCGTAACGTCCGCCCCATTTAGTCAATAAATGCACCTCCTTGTATTTCCGCACGTTCTCCATAAGCTTACCAAAAGGACTATTAATCATTAATTTATAGAAATTTTTATCGAACTCATTTTTCGCCCGCTGTCGCATACCGATATTTAATTCGATGTATTTTTTCAACCACGGAGACTGCTTGAACTGCAATACTCGATTTATTTTTACTAATTTTAGACCGTGCTGCACGTATATCTTTAAATTTCTATAATGAACGACATATTCGCGCTTTGGATATAAGGTTAACATCAGTTTTTTAAATTTTGAATTAAGGGGTATCATATGCTCCGGCGCCATGGGAAAATCACTATCAGATTCGTGCAACTCGGAGGGATAGTCCAAATCACAGTCTACTATGTATCCTACGTCAGCATCGTCCGGATGATTAAGTATGTCCAAATTTTCAATGTCCTCTACAAAGGAGAATTCGCCGAAGGGCAAGAAATTACACATTGTGGCACCATAAAGATTATTAATGTCAAGGTACAATAGGTACGTCGTGTCAAGGTCGCTGTTATAGTCTTTCATGAACGGGTTGTTAGCTTTGGCGTATCTAGTAGAACACTGCGTTATACCGCCTCTAATCCCTTTCTCGATAAACATGAGTTGATCAATATCAGTTAGAAGCTCCAATTTCACGCCCGTAACTTTTAACATGGCGTCAAAAGCTAGACCCGGAGCGGTATAGTAATGCAAAGGATCAAGCCGATACGTCTCTATGCACGTATTGCGAAAGTTTTCGAAAATATCAGCCAAAAGAAGAACATCCGTTTTTAAATAAAGGTCGGAATAATCTCCTAATGTTTTAATGTTGAATGTATTCCATACGTTAAGCGCGTGCTCGTAATCGGCTTCGCTTACCGCTTCGTTTTTCAAATTGCTAAAAAATGCATCTCTAGGCGGTAACTCTAGCTCGTTTAACCTCTCCCATGAGTCGACATAATCGTACGGAAATATGCCCTTACGCGTTAACAAACCAAATTCATTCGCGTTGTCGCTATGCAATCTTATAAGGGTTTTTTTGTCATTCTCCAAATATGAGGACAATTTATCTATACTGCTACTCATAAATCTAAAGGAATCGATAAAGCGAAACTTAATACAAGTATCCTGTACGTACTTTGTGAACGAGATATATTTCTCCTTGTTTACGGGTAAAAGTTTGATTTCGCCGGGAATGACCCCGGTCGCAAGCTCTCTAATAATAAAATGAACGTCGTAGCCGCTCAGATTATGAAAAACTACAGGTATTACCTGACTATCTTTATAGTTTAGGTTACATTTACTATGAGCAACGCCGCGAAAGAGCCCCCCACCGCTATGACTATGGACTTTAACTTTTACGTCACCCTCCAAAAAAGGTTATTCGCAAATGTGGCAGTGCGTTGCACTCTCGATCCTTTTCAGTTGAGCCGAACTTAAACGCTCCATGGGAACTACAGTATTCATTATGGCGTTCGCCCATTTAGCGATATCATGTAACTGTTTAATAAACCATCGCAAATTTTGAAAGTGACTCATCGTACGAGCACTTTAAATAGAACCCTATACTAAACGGAATATGTGACTGGTAAAGCGCGGTGGCTACACCTTGAAGAGGTGTCGAGTTATCGCATTTTTCCAAGATAGTTTCAAGGTCAGCATAAATAGCAAATGGAACCTTCTCCATATGCGAATAGCGAGTAAACTCTACATATTTTTCGGTATCGTTATTGCTGTTAGGCATTCGAATGGAACACTTATTCACTTGATGACACCTTTTTGAATGCTTGTCTAATAGATCGCTCGACGAAAAATGATTTAAACATGTGTAACAGAAAAATTTTTTATGACCTCGATTCGATAATTGCGAGGAGAACAGCGCCGACATATTTTTAATCCAAGCGTAATGATAATAATCGTTGCCATTGTTGTTGTTGTTGTTGTTGGGAGGAGATTGATTGTTTGATGACAATACCAATAAATTTACGGTTTTTCTACCATCCGTCTTACCGCTTAACATAAATGGAAGTACTTTTTTCTTAACTACGCAATATAAGTTAATGGAGAGGTGATTTAATTGCTCAAATTTTTTTATATCGGTTATTTTAATAGGAAATTGAATAGATTCGCGTTTTAGTATGTCATCAAAATGAGGATAACTACTTACTCTATCAACATGTTCGGTGACTGGATTTAAAGCAGCCACTATGGACCATAGAAAACAAAATTTATCATTGTTTCGTACATTCACAACGGCTTTCTTAGCTAGTATAAACGAGGGCATCTTTATATATGTTGAAAAACCACCTTTGATGGGAGCGTAATTGTTAATATTGATTTTGACAAATAGCACTTCACTTAACGCCCAACCGGACTGTTTTTCGGAAAAATTTTCCAACTTGGCTTGCAGTTTATCAAAAACGTTCTCCTTGTACCACTTTTTAAGATTGGTGCCGATATCAATTACGGCATTTCTCGTTTGAAATGTTTTCATATCTACATTGAGATCTTGAGGATGGATAAAGTTACATGCCAAACTTACGTTTACCTTTAACATTGATCGTTTTAGCGCCTCACCAATTTTGCGCGCAAAGCTGTCGTACGATTTTTTTAGAAAAACTAAGGGGTCTTTATAGGTAAAGTTTACAATGACGCCGGTAATCAAACGGCCTTTAAAACAAGAATCTAAGGTGTACCACGCCAAAGTACGGAGCGGATGATTTTTTCTATCGACGGTGTCATCTATTCCACAACCCTCCCTTTTTACCGAGATATTTTTCAATTGTTGTTTTAATTGTGCTCGAAAATATTTAAGTTGGGTTAAATTCGCTTCCAGTCTTATCGGGCTTTCATTTATCTCATTATGAAGGTTATTGGTAATTGCTTTCTCTAACAAACGTATGTTGGAATCGATTATTGAAATATGTCTAACAATATCGGTCTTATTTTTTAATAATTTAATTGAATTACGCGTTAGATTAACTATGTTATTGCTTAAACTCGTAACAGATTCCATTGTACCTACCTACGATTAAAACTATTTTCCCAGAGTTCTTCTTCCTCGAAACGTAACAAAAATAGCTCGCCTGCAAAGTTGCGCGAAATCCGAGAGGCCTTCACACTTACACACACACAAAGAGACACTTGTCGTTGATGGAATATTACGTCAAAGATGCACAGAGACGAAGTCATTAAATCGCGGAAATTGGAGGCCTTTTATACGCTCACGTTCCGAAGGACATTAATGAATACTCCCTTTCTTACATGAGTGCTCGCTATTGTTGGCGCTTTTCTAGGAAGCTTCGGGTGTGTCGCAGGTGTCCCATGCGCTTTCTGCTAACACCATGCAAATACGTTTCCAAGGTCGAGAACAATGGAGTCGGTGTTACTGCAGTTGCATGAGTGGGGTCTGGGAACCTTGGTGTCGCAGGTGTCTCATGCAAGTACGTTTTCAAGGACAAGAACAATGGAGTCAGTGTTACTGCATGAGTAGGTCTTGGAAGCTTTGGTGTCGCAAGTGTCTCATGCAAGTACGGAGGAGGACAATGGAGTCAGTGTTGAGCTACCAGGAAAGCAACCTGTGAGAACGCCCTTGATTTTCACTCTTTTGCTAACTCCATCAAAAACCCTCCCCATATATAGGTGGAGATTTTTCATATTGGATAAGTATTAACGTGAACGTTAAGACCATGTCTTCCTCGATGTCTTCCTTTAACAACAAACGCGGCGCGAAATTGAGTATTAAAAAAAAAAGTGAAACGAACAAGAAGCCTTACGGTGGTGCTAGTGGCGGTGGCGAACATTCGGTGTTAAGAACGGCATTAGAAAAAAATAAACCATCAAAATTAATGGACGGAGATGTCATCATCAATCTCATTACCGAAGATGATGAAGGACACCAGGAAAGGTAAGGCGTTCTCGCGCTCGCTTTCCACCATCCATACAATTGTTTTATTGTTTTTATAGAACCACCACTACAACAGCCAACAACAACAACATGAATGAGTTGGACGACTTTCTGAAAGAATACGAGGGCATCGTGAACCACGTATATGCCCCACAAGTAAGGACGATCCCTCCACCTCACGAACAGGAGCATCAGCAGCAGCAGCAGTTAAGGTAAAAATTGCTCATGAAAACAAAAAAAAAATTAACAATTTTAAAAAATTATTCTAATATATATTTGTTTTTATAGCCATCATCAGTATCCGGTACAGATATTAGAACACATCATAATTCCCGCGCCGCCGCCGCCACCACCACCGCCACAGTCAAATCAGCACGCGGGAGATGGCTTACACCAATTTCATCCGCCGCCACCGGGCAATAACGCCGTGAACAACAATCACTTTCAGTAAGTTATACTTGCAATATATACATACACTCTATTCTTAATACTGTGCTTTTCTCCTTATTGTTACAGAGCTTCGTTACCAAGGGCGGGTGCAAAGGACATGAATGTCCTAAGAGACATCTACCAAAACATCTCCCCAGCAGCAGCAACAGATCTGCCGCCACCACCACCACCACCCCCGCTGGACCCGCACAGGTGGCACGAGCCGTCCAACCCCCAAGAGCTGGCAATGGTGTCCATGCGGTGCCTGGAGCAAATGTTGCCCATTGTTGAAACGAAGCACCGAGATTCCCAACTTCTTACCGAAAGGTTGGAAAGGGAATTAACGGCATCCCGAACACAACAGCAGCATCTCCAAAAAGAAATGCAATTAATAATTAATTATATTACATTTTTAAAACAAATGTCAATGTAACTATAACGAAATAATAATGTAATTATTGTATGTACCTATTTCAAATATACGGAATTGATGCAATTGTTATTGTTATTAATATAGTTTATCCCGCCGCAAACTTTCCACGGCTATAATTTTAATCCAATACGAGGAATTCATTGTCGAGGTCAAGCAAAAGTGAAACAGGGCGTTGTTGCAGCAACCTACAATGGAAATTATAAATCTCATTTCATGATTTCTCCCTGCAATAAGTATTGTTACTAAGTTACGTACCTGAGTTATGATATTCCCGAATTTTAATTTCCGCAAAAATCATAATTATTTCCGTAAGCAACAACACCATAAATGAGAAACGAGTGCAAGGCCACGAAGTACAAACTGATACTGTTCTATTTTTAATGCGCGCGCGAAATTGCAAAGTTTTTTTATGTACACGATCTAAAGGGGCCCCTAGACGGTCAATCATTTTGATCAAAAACTTCATTCAAGCGCGATTAACCATCAATATGTCAAATAACACCTACTTATACCACGCGGGTGTGGTTCTAACAGGGACATTGCCGATGGGAAAATGAATAAACACCCCTTTGTACATTTTTTTTTTTTAATACACACAACTTTACATATACACAAGGAAATAATCATTTTATTTAGGTACATCATCATCATCATCATCATTGGGCCTTATCTCATGCACACAAATCGCCAGTAGACCTCACAACATCAATTTTTCCATACGGCGCCGACAACCCAAAATTTCCACATCCCACTTTAATTTTCTAATTTTCATTACCAGCTCGTCAATTCTTTTTTTCCGTTGCTGCCACTGCTGCTGCTGATGATGATTATGAACAATGACTCTTGACATCTCGTCGATTCTTGTTATTATGGACAAATGTCTTCCAATTAACACCTTATATTACACCCAACGGCCTTGAGCCGCCGCCACCCCCCCTCCACACAAACAATACACCCCTTTGTTCTCACAACTCGACCTTGAAATCCAATGGCCTTCACCCATCAACCCCCCTCCGAAAAACACAAACAATACACCCCATTTCTTCTCAACACTCGACCTTGAAATCCAATGGCCTTCACCCATCACCCCCCCTCCGAAAAACACAAACAATACACCCCATTTATTCTCAACACTCGACCTTGAAACCCACCCACCCCCACTTACGCAATACCACTTTGACCTTCAACACCACTTTGACCTTGAAACGCTAACACTTCAATCATATGGCACTTTTCAATGTAAAGTGAGCCAGGATCGGCCTTACTATACTACTACATTGAAATCGATGTATTTCATCCCTAAGTAAGTAGACCTTCTACTGTAAATATCCAGCAAGGCCTCAAGGTAGCATACTAATTCATTTTTAACCAAATTTCGTCAGCATTGAAGAGAATTCGTTAAAATGTTGCTAAATGGATCAGTAGTAACTGAATATTTAAACGTCATTAAAGATAAATGTCAATGTTTATATTTGTATTTAATTAAACGTGTCCTTTCACAGCGTCCTGTTGGATTACTGCAATATTAAAGAGGTCATGGGCCCAGGAACATTGTGGAAGTGAATTAGTGACATTAAACTAAGTGCCACTATAATATGTTCGCTGAACAGAAATAGTGAAGCCACCCCTCCAAAATTACCGCCACATTGAAATGCAACATTTTTGTTGGTCCAATTTTCAAATGCCGATGACACACGCGGAAATTTTACTTTCAATGGTTGAAGTCTATCTGCCATTCCGTTTTTCTGTTTAAATAGTCGCTTATTTGCGTAGAATGCAGTTGATCTCATTTATACGCAAAAAATAGTCATTGTAAAGACTCATCTGTGCAAGGATGAATGTAGCAGGGGCTGCTTTTTCTCCACCCAAAAAAACGACCTTCAACCAAAAGTGTTCTCAGACGTTTGATCCATTCCTTTTTTTCAGAGAAATGAACCGCCACCATAGAATAAAATTTTAGTAGCGTTACATGAAGATGAACAGTTACCTCAATTGAAGCGGACCTCATTGTGGACATTTATAACGCAAATTGGTTTTCAGTGATATTTTTTTACTTGTAATATACTTAATTATTTTGCTCGTCATTATAGATATAGGAAAAGGTCGCGCAATAGTGTTCTTAGGGAAAAGGATGAGATCATTACTTGGAGGCGTTTTTTCTTGCAAGAAATAAGAAAATACCGGGAAGAAGGGCGGAAGTTGTATTTTCTAGATGAAACTTGGGTGAATACTGGTCACACTGTAAGCAAAGTATTGAAAGATCCATCGAGCAAGAAGTGTCGAATTATAGCCCTGCACTTAGCGTCTGAGGATGGTTTTGTCGAGGAAGGTTTGTTGTTTTCTGAATCAAGGAAAATCTATGATTGTAATGGACAACGCCTCGTACCACAGCCTGGAAGCTGAACTCCTGCAGGATGCCAAGCAGGCTGCTGTTACACCTAAGAACGTTGGTGACGAAATTGCAAGTGCAAATTACTGTACAGTTTGGCGACTGCCTCCGTATCGCTGTGAATCCAATTGAATTGTAGAATTGAAGAACATTAATACTGATCAGAAAGTAGTGGCAGTAACGGGACTAAAGCAGGGGACGATGTGAGGAAACCTTTAAAAGAACTGTTTGCAACGTGGCAGAAGCGCAAGGAACTGTCTCTGGAGATCAGTAAGGGATTATTTCCTTATGTCGTTTGATTGAGTCTCCCACCAAATCTCGAGGTATTTTGCATGAAGTCTCAGGACACACTACCGGATCCCAAGGAACTGAGAAACAAGGCCATTGAGTGTCGAGATTCAACGGAACGCCATCGTCACTTTACCGACCACATTTGTGACATTGCTAAATGTCTATAATGACACCTGCCATTACTGACTGAGTGACATTAATCAAAAGTTCTACATAAAAATGAAATTTTATACTAAAATACGATTTCGTGTAAAATTTAATACGAGTACAAGACTCGTCAGCAAAATTACATTACCTGACTCGGAAATTAAGATACTCGCCCCAAAGGGGGCTCGTACTTCAATATTTCCTCGCCAGTAATGTATCATTTTCCTGACTTTTATGTAAATAACTATTAACCCACAATTTAGCTATATAAACTGAAGTTTAAACTGACATTGTACAACTGGACCTTAAAAGTGGCGTTGTTCTTGTCGCCTTATTTTCGTCATCTAGACGTTTTATGCGGTGGTTCTCTTGTTACACCCGTAATTTATAAAATCTTTTAGTTCTTAAAACATGTAACCTGTTAATTTTTCATTTAAAGTTTATTTGTATTCCCCCTAGGTAAGTTTAATTGATGAACTACTTAGGCTTTAGTTTTTCATTTTAGGATGTATTGACTTGGATAATTACTTGAAAATAGAACGGGTTATGTAAGCAACTTTAACACTTCATTATGTAGATCCTGAATTTTACTTACTTCTTTTGTTGTTGTTGGTACCTGCAAAAGAAAACAGAATAATAAAGAAACCATAATCAAAAACTAACTCAGTTTAATTTGGTTTCTAAAATGAAGAGAAAAATAAATAATATCATTTTTATTTCAGAATCATTACGAAAGTTTGGATCAAGAGTTTTTAACTAGCAGTATAAATTTGGTAAGAGATGGCACTCAAATTGAAGAACAAATAAACGTGTAAACAAAAAATAGAAAACGAGCAATTCGGTTCATAACTCACAGAGATATCAAAAGGGTCTTCCTTATTTTTTTAGCTCCAATTCACTCCGATCTACAAATTTGATAAAGAATCCACCTACAAAATTTATCGTAATTGGTCCATTCGTTACCGAGCTATCGTACTAATGGACGGACTGACAGACGGACAGACACCGCAAAATTATAACTCGCTAGGAGCTCGTTAATGATTACTCAAGAAGAAACTTCGAATAATAATTCAAATCCAGAAGTAGAGCAAACATTAATAAATACTTACAAACAATATACCAAAAAAAAATGTACAAAGAGAAAGCAAGAAGAGCTAGAAGATATTAATGATGAATCTTTTAAAATGTTTAAAAATATATGAAAGCCGAAAGACGAGTGATAATAGTATTCACTGCTACTAAAAGTTCGTAACTTACCTATACATTATGCGCGATGTCTGGTTGTCTATAGAATTCAAATTATACTTTATGAAGCAAGCCTTGGTATGTATAACAATCCACCAACCCCACAGTACTCAACCGCCACCATCTAGCAGCAACAGGTTCTGGACAAACAGTAACATGGATTCCACTAGGACCTTCTTCAGATCCATCTAACTCCCATTTCACGTCAGACGGCCTGACTACATACCATACCGCCCCCACCTACCAGCAGCCATCAGGCTCTAGACAAACAGCAACATGGATTGCATCACGGCCTTCTTCTAACTCGAAATTATTGTTATACGACCGGAACCGAGAAAACATCAGAACATCCTGAAGATGCATTATCCCTTTTATGACCACTCTAAGCGTATACATCTTAGAAATATTTAAAAGGTTTATTTTCTGTTTGATTTTTTGCATTTCGATGTTTTTAGTTTAATGATTTGTTTCACGTGTTCAATAAAATGAAATAATATTTATTTTTTTACAAAACTTGATCCTTGAGAGCTTTTCTTATTGCCTGGCACACCTCAAGTACAATAACTCTAATTAACCTGTGCCATTAAATAAATTAAATTTTTATTCAATGCCTGTGCCTAGAAATCGCAATGTTACTGTCAACTCGTACAACGGGTCTCTGTAATTTGTGTTGCGTTTAGCGATTTTTAATCCAATTAATTAATTCCTCTAAACCTTTTGCAGCCATTCTAACAAAATTCTGAAAAGAGCTTCCAATAGTATCACCAGGCACTAAACCACAATTCTTATTGTATTTATTTATGTATTTTATTGCCTTTATTTTAAATCACTTAATAGTTTACTTTTAGTGTAGAAGATATTTGTTAAAGCTAGGCCGTACCCAAAACCTATGCTTCCTTTTATTGCTAATAATTTTTAGAACACATCCTAACGAACAAATTTCGTCGTTAAACATTCTCGGATAAAGAACAAGAACTCTGCATGCCTACAGTTTGGTGGAGTAGAATTTAGCATTCTTTCTCCGTTCCCCCATACAGGATTGGACTTGCCAAAATTTATGTTAAAGTTAAAAATAACGAAATGCATTTGTTTCCTTGGAATAGGCTTCTTCATAAGCGTTTTCCCGAAGATTAATATGTCTGGCGAAAAAGTGTGGTAGTCTAGAAATCTTTCCTGGTATACTAAGGGCGTTGAAGAATGAAACGGTGGATGTTTTTAATAAAGAATATCGATATTGATTGCTTGATTTACTTGCTAAAGGTGGGACCCTCACAATATTTTGTGCGCTATAATGAAATTTGTCCGTCTTCGCCTTCTTCTTCGTCTTCGCTTTAAACTGGGTTTTGTGAATTTTGGAATTTACAAGTGTCTCTGATTGGAGGCCGAGGTGAAGTTGAGGCTAATTTAAAGAATCGGGATCAGAATAGGCGTAAAGTTACTAAACGAAATACTTATGAGATTAACTTTTGTTTGCGTGGTAGGTACCCTTCCGTAATCTTATGACCAATCACGTCTGAGTGGCAAACGTTGTATTTCCGTATAATTAATTCCGTCCATATTTTCCCCCATTCGAACAGACGTGCCATAAAGCATCACCAAAATTATTGATTAAACGTTCGTCCTAGTTCCGAAGCTCGGGCAGGTAGGCTTTATTCAATATTAATACGATCAAAACTTAATGCTAGTTAAACATAGCTCATCGGTATCGACAAAAAAAGAAAACTGAATGAGCTCCGCATCGA